TAAATGAATCACTTAAGTATCTAGTTTAGAGGCAAATCTTTATGTACTTAAAACAAGGGCGTGGGCCAGGATGCCATTTTTCTCCAAGTGTAATCAAGCTCTGGTTTCCCCTGCTCACTGTTGGAGAATCCCTAACGCTCTTGCACCAACAAGCTTGTCCAAACCGGCCAAGCCTGGGGCGGGGGAGTAGCTCTGGCCTCCTTGAGAATGAGCAGAGCAAAAGGCCAGCGTGGGGAAGGAATGTTTCTGGGCAGCTGGGGCTGTCAGGACAAGCTAAACATTGGAGGGAAGGATTCTGCTCTGCTCTGTCAAAGTCTCCTGCAGCATCCTGGGCCAAAATCTCCCCTCATTTACACCCACGCGATTCCCACCGAGCTCAGCGCGTGCCTCATCAGAGACAGGGCAGGACCAGCCTTCTCCCCCTTACCTCCAACTCATTTTCAGCCCTAAGCCTCTGAGGTCAAAGGACCTCAGCAGAACTCAGGGGTCTGGTTGGGGTCATCCAGTGCCTTAGAGAACAAGAGAACCAGGGATCGTCCACAGGACAGCAGATTCGCTTAAAATGTGGAGCACCAGAAAGTGGTCAAAGGGCCGTTTCAGGATTATGCACTTGGTTGCCTGGATTTTTAGTTTGAAGTCTTGTGCACCGTAGTGGATGGAGAGAGAAGGACTGGGTTCAAGTCTTGCCTTTGATACACACTATTTGTATGACCCCGGACAAAGCCACTAAAGCTCCCCATGCGTATTTCCTGATGTAACATTGAGGTTATGGTACATCTGCTCCCTGTTGCGAGAATTGCCAAATCATCTAACCTCTTGAGTTTGGAATGTAGTAGCCCTAGTCCCAAAGCCCACTGGCATGGGCCTTGCTCCTCAGTTGTGGAGATGCTGGAAGGGTAGGGACAGGTGGGACTGCTACTCGAGGCCTGTTGGGTGTCTGGTGGTGGATTATTGTCCTTCTTTTTTCAAGAGGACCAAGATGACGCGCCTATGTCAGGGTCAAGGAACAACTTGTCTGTCTATGGCTGATCAGATCGAAACAGTCTGTGTGAACATTTGGAGAGATGTCTCTATATACACACAAACATAGACACATATATGGATACATGCCCCATACATCTATACACATGCATGCACACATATGAGCTAGGGGGCGCCGCAGTGCGCAAAGGGCCAGGCCTAGAGTCAGGAAGACTCATCTTCATGAATTCAAATCTGGTTTCAGACACTTACTAGCTGTGTGACCCTGGGCAAGTCACTTAACCCTGTCTGCCTCGGTTTCCTCATTTGTAAAATGAGCTGGAGAAGACACAGCAAACCGCTCCAGTACCTTTGCCAAGAGAACCCTAAATGGGGTCACAAAGAGCTGGACATGACTGAAAACTGACTGAACAACAACACATGTTCATGTGCGCGCGTGTGCGTGTGTGTGTGTATACATACGTGTGTGTGTGGGTCTTGCCCCTGGACTGTGATGACTCAAGGAGAGAGTGAGGTTGATGACTTCATGCAGCTCTGCCTCACTTAAATCCAATTTATCATTTATCAAACCATATTTACCTGCCTCAAAGTCCTGTGGCGACAGGCAAGTGACTAAGCAGCAGGTGCAGATACACTGGGAGCTGTCGTTACAACCCTATACATGGGCCACCCAGACCACAGGATTGTCTTCTCACAGGAAGCAGCGGTGGGATTCAGCAGGCCCCTGAGTGTCTGAACAGCCTTTTAAAGATTGCACTGCTCACCTCCAGGTGTGAAAAAGGGGCTAGAAAAGGTGCCTTAAAAATTGTCTGCTTTACTCAGCCCCGGCTCATTTACCTCAGCGGTTGGGGATCCCACTCTGTGGTCAAAACACAAAAATGTAGAAAAACTTCCACAAAGATGATTCCACTCACCATCGGTACATGGAATGTGCTCACACTCATAGACAACACAAAACCGGTGTGGGCCTGGAAGATGAACAGCTCTTGTTGAAGAGAACTTGGCCCTGAGTGAAACACGGCTGGCCAATAAGGCCAGCTCACTGATGTTGGAGATGGATACGCTTTTTTTCTGGAGTGGCCGCAGTGAAGGGGAGCACCATGAAGCTGGTGTAGGTTGTGCTACCAAAACTAATCTAATCAACAAGCTTGTATGCTTCCCAAAAGGAGTGAATGACAGGCTCATGACAAAGTGATGCCCCTTGCAGGAAAACATCATGCCATCATCAGTGCCTATGCTCCCACTGTGACAAACCCTGATGAGATCAAAGAAAAATTTTATGAAGACCTGGAGATCCTCATCATCAATGTGCCAAAAGAGGTGAAGCTTATAATTCTGAGGGACTTTAATGCTAGAGTAGGCTCAGACTACTAGACTTGGCAGGGAGTTCTAAGGAGGAATGGAGATGGGAAAAGCAAATAGCAACAGTCAGTTACTACTGAAAACTCGTGCGTCAGATGACCTTCTTATCACCAACACTATCTTCCATTTACCAAAATGCAATAAAACTTCATGGATGCACCCTCGCAGCAAACGTTGGCATCTAATAGACTATGTGATTGTAAGAAGAAGAGGCAGACAGGATGTGAGAGTGATGAAAGCGACATGTGGCACAGGGTGCTGGACTGATCACAGACTTATCCTCTCCAATCCAAATATTCACAACCAACAAAAATGGCATCCCCAAGGCAAAATGACTGCCAGAAGAGTGAATGTCAGGCCAGCTAGGTGGGGCAGTGGTGAATTCCAGACATCTCAGCCCACAGGTGGTAAGAGGGTTGGAAAACTGGTCAGAAGGAGATCACAAGGGTCCCTTTGCTGCCCATACTTGGATCTGGGTCACATTCCTGGGTCTCAGACTGAGGGCAAATAGGAGCACTAGCATATCAAAGCTTATAGCCACAGGGGAGCTGGGAACCTGGTCACAGTTCCAGGGCAGAAAAGAGTGCCTGTGTTTACTTACAGACCAGAGCACAGGCCAGGAGAGTAGTAAACACACCTCTCTGTAGATTACACCACCTTGGAAGAAATGAAAACTTAAAGGTCTACAGAATTACCTCTGAAAATAGCTGCACAGAACTCTTGAAGCTTGGGATGAACCCCTTCACTCCAGAAACAGACCCCCACTTTAGCATAGATTTAAAAGTCAGGAAATAGGCTGGAAAAATAAGCAAGCAGCAGAAAAAGATCCTGACTGTAGAAAGTTACTATGGTGACAGGGAAGATCAAAATACAAACTCAGAAGAAGACAACAAAGTCAAAACTGACACATCCAAAGCCTCAATGAAAATTATAAATTGATCTCAGGCCATGGAAGAGCTCAAAAAGGATTTTTAAAAAATCAAATAAGAAAAGTAGAGGAAAAAATAGGAAGAGAAATGAAAGTGATATAAAAAAATCATCAAAAAGGAGTTAACAGTTTGGTAAAGGAGGCACAAAAAAAATACTAAAGAAATCAACTCCTTAAAAAACAGAATAGGCCAAATGGTAAAGACAGCACAAAAATTCAATGAAGGGAAGAATGTCTTGAAAAGTAGAATTGGACAAACATAAAAAGAGGTAAAAAATTCACTGAAGAAAAGAACTCCTTAAAAAAAAAAGAAGAACTGGTTAAATGGAAAAGAAGGCACAAAAGCTCACAGAAGAAAATAATTCCTTAAAAATTAGAATTGGGCAAGTATAAGCTAATGACTTTATGAGAAATCAAGAAACCATAAAACAAAATTAAAAGAATGAAAACATAGAAGAAAATGTAAACTACCTGATTGGAAGAACAATTGACGTGGAAAACAGATCCAGGAGAGATTAATTTAAGAATTATTGCATTACCAGAAAGCTTATAAAAAAAAAGAGCTTAGATATCATCTTTTAAGAAATTATTAAAGAAACTTGCACTGATATTCTAGAACCAGTAAGTAAAGTAGAAATTGAAGGAATCAACTGCTCACCTCCTGAAAGAGATCCCAAAATGAAAATTCCCAGAAATATTATAGCCAAGGTCCAGAGCTCACAGGTCAAGGAGAAAATATTGCAAATAGTTAACAAGAAATGATTAAAATATCATGGAACCACAGTCAGGATAACATAAGATTTAGCCATTTCTATATTAAAAGATTGAAGAGAATCACCTCTCCAATAGAACTGAGTATAATCCTCTGAGGGGGGGAGGTATTCAATGAGTTAGAGTACTTTCAAGCTTTCCTCATGAGAAGACCTGAACAGGAAATTTGACTTTCAAATACAAGACTCAAGAGAAGTGTAAAAAGGTAAACAGGAAAGAGAAATCATAAGGGATTCAATAAGGTTAAACTGTTTACATTCCTACATGGGAAAATGATATTTGTAAATACTAAAATCTTTCTCATTATGAGGACAGTTAAAAGGAGTATACATAGACAGAGGGCATGGGTGTGAGTTGAATATGATGTGATGATATCTAAAAAAAAAATAAAATTAAGAGGTAAGAAAGAGGGATGGTGCACTGAGAGAAGGGAAAAAGGAGAGAGATAATGGGGTAAATTATCTGACATAAAAGAGGTGTGAAAGAATTTTTACAGTGAAGGGGAAGATGGAGAAGGTGTGTGGAATAACATGCACACTCATTTGGGTATAGAAATCTAACTTACTACACAGGAAAGTAGGAGGGGAAAGGGATGAGAGTTGGGGTAGGGGTGATAAAAAGGAAGGTGGATTGGGGGAGGTAAAAATCAGAAGCAAAGCACTTTTGCAAATGGATAGGGTAAAAGGAGAGAGAGAGAGAGATTAACAGGGACAAAACAGGATGGAGGAAAATACATAGTAATCGTAACTGTAGAAAATTTTTACAGCAAATTTCTCTGATAAAGACTTCATTTCAACCCTTCTTTTTTCCTTCCCTCTCCTTTCCCCCTCCTCTCCCCTTCCTTCCTCTCCTTTCTTCTCTCTCTCCCCTTCCCTTCTTCCCCTCCTTCTTTATCCCCCTCCTTCCCTCCATCCTTTCTCCTTCCTTCCTTCCTTGCCTAGACAACACCACGGTGGAGATGGCCAAGGAGGCCACAAAGCCTGCTGAGGCAGACATCATGGGGCTGTGCCAGGACATGTTCTCCAAACTGGCCACGTACCTGACAGGACAGCTGACAGCCACCAGTGAAGACTTTAAACTTCTGGAAAATGTGAACAAACTGACTAGCTTGATGTATCTAGAAATGAAACATATTGCAGTAAACATAAGCAGAAACCTAAGGGACTCAAACCAGAAATCTGCAGCACTTCAGCTTTATCTGGATCAGATCACTTTCACTGAAGAGCAAGTAGCCGCTCTTGAGCAGGCAGCTTACAAGTTGGATGCATATTCAAAGAAACTAGAAGCAAAGTACAAGAAGTTAGAAAGGCGATGAAAGAATTCTTTAGCGCAAAGACTAACTACAAGAATGTTTCACAAGAGCTGAAATGTGGGGGATGGAAGTTATCAAACTTCTACGCTCCAGTTCCATAACGGGAAGTGGTTTTGCTGATACAAGGAGAATCTCAGACAGCACCTTTGGTTGGATGTGTAACTTTGGCCACCTCTTGATGTTTTCCTAAACCTGTACCCACTGGAACCTCATCTCATTGTGTGCTTCATTGTGTGAACTGGACCAAGGCTCAGAAATCAGGATCAACTCTGTCTAGAGTAGACACAGAGGAGAGACCCTTTTCTGTCTGTCTCCTCCTTCCACCCCTCCCCTAGGGCTTCATGTTGGACTACATTCTGAATGTGCTCCACACCCCCTTCATAACCTGTTCTTGAACTTAAATAATAAATGCTGGCTTATGACCCTCATAAAATAAAAGTAAAAGTAAAGATGTCATTTCTCAAATATATAAAGAACTGAGTCAAAAATTAAGGAAATTAAAGCCATTCCTCAATTGAAAAGTGGTCAAAGGACATGAACAGGCAGTATTCAGACAAGGTAATCAAAGCTATCTAGAATAATATGAAAAAATGCCCTGAATAACTATTGATTAGAGAAACGTAAATTAAAACAACTCTGATGTACCACCCTACATCAATCAGATTGGCTGATATGACAGAAAAGGAAAATGACAAGTGTTGAAGGGGATGTGGGAAAATTGAGACACTAATGCACTGTTGGTGAAGTATACTGATTCAACCATTCAGTAGAGCAATTTGGAACTATGTCCAAAGGGCCATAAAACTGTGCATACGCTTTGACAAAGCAATACCACTACTAGATCTGTATCCCAAAGAGATAAAAAAGAAAAGAAAAAGGAACTATATGAACAAAAAACTATTTATAGCAGCTCTTTTGGTGCTGGCAAAGAATTAGAAATTGAGGGGATGTCCATCAATTGGGGAATGACTGAACAAGTTGTATATGATTGTGATAGAATACTATTGTGCTATAAGAAATGATGCTTTCAGAAAGACCGGGAAAGATTTACATAAACTGATGCAAAGTGGAATGAGCGGAACTTTGGAGGAGAACATTGTATACAGTAACAGCAACATTGCATGATGATCAACTGTGAATGACTTAGCTATTCTCAGCAATACAATCATCTAACACAATTCTGAAGGACTTTTGATGAGAAATGCTATCCATCTCTATAGAAAGAACCAATGGAATCTGAATGCAGATCAAAGAACACTTTTTTCTTTACTTACTTTATTTTTCTTGTTTTGTTTTTTTGTCTGTATTTTCTTTTACAATATGACTAACCTAGAATTGTTTTCTTTTTCAATGGGGGGGAAGTGGAGAGGAAGGAGAGAATTTGCAAATCAAAAAAAAATTTAATGAATGTTCAACATTGTTTTTTATATGTCATTGGGAGAAAATGTAAATATTAAGATATCAAATCAAAATATTAAATTAAAAATGTTAAATAAAATATTAAGTTAAAAATATAAAAAAGACAATGTCAACAGATTAGAGCACTTCTCAAAGCAGGAACAGTTTGTTGCTAATATGGAGGGAAAACTGAGCCAACACACAGTTGGCAGCAGTGGAGCAGAAAAGCAGTAGGCAGCTTTCACAGATTTGGTGTAAAGCACTGCATTGGCTCACCTGGGTCAGAACACTGACAAACATCAATATTGGTTTGACAAAAATGATGAGGAAATTCAGAAGCTGCTAAATGAAAAATGAGAACTCCACAGGGTTTACCAGCAGGATGGTTCATTCAACTCTAAGAAGACAACATTTAACTCTATCAAAAGTAAAGTACAAGTGAAGCTTAGAGAGATGCAAGATTCTTGGCTTAGAAAGAAGGCAGATGAAATTCAGTTTTACTCTGTTAGTAAAAATTCAGAGTGCTTTTATGATGTCCTGAAGGCTATTTCTAGGCCAAAGACCTATGGTGCATCTCAACTACTCAGTGCTGATGGAGCCACATTGATTAGTGATAAGGACATGATCCTGGAGAGATGGGCTGGGAACTTCCATAGTGTTCTCAACAGACCATTATCAAGGCTGAAGCCACTGACCATACAACTCAGGTTGAAGTCAGTCCCTCTCTAGCCAAGTTTCCAACAGAAGAAGAGATTTTGAATGCCATTAGGCTCCTATCCTGTGGCAAAGTGCCTGATGCTAATTCTATTTCAGCTGAGATTTACAAGGCAGGGGGTCCAAAGCTCATACAGAAGCTGAAATTTTCTGGGTTGCGTGGCAAGAGGAGGTTATTCCCTGGGAGTTTAAGGATGACTCCATTGTCCATCTCTATAAAGGTAAAGCTAAGCAGAGTTGCAGTAGCTCAAAAGAAATGTGAAACATGCAAATTTAGAAATAACTCCACCCCAAATGCATGTGGACTATTTGTGTCCAACCTCTGGTAGAGTCTTCCAAGCTTGTATTCATCTGATCAGCCACAGTTGGACACATTGTACCTTGACCCTAACATAGTGATATCATTTTTGTCCTCTTCAAGAATGAAGGAAAACAACCAACCATCTATCTTTCCATCTGTCTATCTTTCTATTTATCTATCCACACACATATTTATATCTATATAGTGAGTGCTTAATAAGTGCTTTCCTCACTCTCTCTCTCCTTCCCTTTATTTTCCTTTTCCTGCCTGCCTTCCTCCTTCCCTCTATCCCTTCCTCTCTTCCTTTCTTCATTCCTTCCTTTCTTCCTTCCATCCCTTGCTCTCTCAAACCTAAAAGTGCTTCTTTAAAACTCCTCTCCCTTGAGCAAGGAATAGTTTACCTGTCAGATTTATGGAGAACAAAAGAATTTATTTTTGTTCGTTTGTTTGTGTTTTGTTTTTGCAGGCAATGGGGTTAAGTGACTTGCCCAGGGTCACACAGCTAGTTAAGTGTCAAGTGTTTGAGGCCAGATTTGAACTCAGGTCCTCCTGACTCCAGAGCCAGTGCCCTATCCACTGTGCCACCTAGCTGCCCCTGAACAGAAGAATTTATAACCAAACAAGAGATAGAGAACATTATGAAATGAAAGATGGATAATTTTGATTACATTAAATTGAAAAGTTTTTGCACAAAGTCAATGCAACCAAGATTATGAGGGAAGCAGAAAACTGGGAAACAATTTTTACAATCAGTGTCTCTGATAAGGGCCTCATTTCTAAAATACATAGAAAACTAAGTCAAATTTATAAAAAATACAAACCATTCCCCAATTTATAAATGATCAAAGAATATGAACAGGCAATTTTCAGATGAAGAAATTAAAGCTATCTATAGTCACATAAAAAATGCTTTAAATCACTACTGAGTAGAGAAATGCAAATCAAAACAACTCTGAGGTACCACATCACACCTATCAGATTGACTAACATGAGAAAACAGGAAAATGGTAAATGTTGGAGAAGATGTGGGAAAATTGGAACACTAACGCATTGTTGGTGGAGTTGTAAACTGATCCAACCATTCTGGAGAGCAATTTGGAAGTATGCCCAAAGGGCTTTAAAAATGTGCATACCCTTTGACTCAGCAATAGCACTTCTAGGGCTGTATCCCAAAGAGATCATAAAATGGGGAAAGGACCCACATGTACAAAAATATTTATAGCAGCTCTTATTGTGGTGGTGAAGAATTGGAAATTGAGGGGATACCCATCAATTGGGGAATGGCTGAACAAGTTGTGGTATATGAATGTAATGAAATACTATTGTGCTATAAGAAATAATGAGCAAGTGGACTTCAGAAAAACCTGGAAGGACTTGTATGGACTGATGCTGAGTGAAGTGAGCAGAACCAGGAGAATGGTGTACACAGTAACAGCCACATTGTACGATGACTAACTTTGATAGACTAGACTAGGATATAGGACATCTCCAAAAGTCTCATGATGGAAAATGCTGTCCACATCCAGAGAAAGAACTATGGAGTCTGAATGCAGATGGAAGCATACTATTTGCTTTTTTTTCTTCTGTTTTATTTTGTTTCTTCTTTCTTGTGGTTCCTCCTATTGGTTTTAATTCTTCTTTACAACATGACTAATGTGAAAATATGTATAATAGATATATATGTAGAACCTATATCCAATTGCATGCCATCTTGAGGAAGGAGGTGAGGAGGGAGGGGGAGAAAATTTAAAACTTGAAAGCTTGTGGAAATGATTGTTGTAAACTAAAAATTAATTAATTAATTTAAAAAAACTCCTCTCCCTTGCTTAGGACTCTCTGCTCTGGGTTCAAGCAGTCCTTCCTCTCTATAGTCCTGAGAATGCTTAAAGACAATTCCCAAATCCGTATGAACTCTTCTCTTACCCAGACTAACTAGGACCAGTTATTTCAGTGAATTCTCATTCAGAAGGAGCTCAGGGATCTTTGCCCTTCTGGTAATTCTCCTCTGGATATTCTCTCTCTTGTTAATCTCCTTCCAAACATATGGTTCCCAGAACTTATCACATTATTCCAGATGTATTGTGACCAGGGCACAGAACAGTAGGACTAGCACTGGACTAATCCTCCCTTAATGAATTCTATTTCTTGATGCCATTTTATCATATTGACCTATAATTTCAAGCTTTCTTTTTTTTTCTTTTTTTTAAGACTCCCCAATTTTTTTTCATATCAATTGCTATCTTGATGTGCCAAAGCTCTGGGCTTCCTCTCCCACTCTACATTCCCATTAGCAAGTCAAGTCCCCAGAGCAGAGCAGGGTAAATCTCCCTCTCTGAAGGTGCCTTTGAGAGTGATGGAGCTCTAGTATTATCATCTGGAGCCTGCCATATAGTGCCCCACCAAAATATCATCGCTAGTGATTGGTACCTCAATATAAAAATCCATTGGTATCCTCTCTTTGGTGTCATTAATAATCAATTAACATCTGTGTGCTTTTCCAAAGAGATTTCTCCCCTACCAGATACAGCAAGAACCAAGTAAATGCTAGATCTATATCCCAAAGATATCCAAAAAAAATAGAAAAAGACCT